GCCTAGCATCCCGCAGACCACGTGGCTGTTGTGGGCGCTCCAGCCTTTGTCGCACACTTGCGACCAGCCGTCGGGAAGCCGGACTTCCACCAGTCCCTCAGTCACGGGCAGCGGCCGCCTGCCCCGCCCGACGGCTGCTCGGAGTCGCACCTCCTCCACTTGCAGGTTGTGCTCTACCTGGGGAAGGACCACAAGCAGAGGAAGGAATTCCAGTAGCACCTGTCATGTGCCCTGCCACCCTGGAGGACCCCTGATCGAGTGTGCTTGCTGCCAGCCCGATGGCGAGATGGGGCGAGGCAGGGCTGAGGGGCCTGCCTGCCGTCTGCGGGGTGCGGACTGCGGTGTGGGCGCGTGCGGAGTCTGCGGCAGCCCGGAGCGTGGAAGGCCGTGCTGTGCTCTGAGAAACGCTTTAGGGTGCTGAGGAAGGAGCACCTAACCCTGCCTGGAGCATGAAGGGGAACTTCACAGAGGAAGCGGCATGGAAGGAGGTGACTAAGGAAGAAGGGAGATGTTCCAGGACAGCAGAAACATCTGAGGGCAGGATGCCCTGGGGACCAGGGATGAGTTGGAGAGGCTCATGCCAGGTTTAGTAACTTGCTAAAACAAACCTGGACTTTACAGTGTCTAGGAGCTCTATCATTCCTCCTGTCTCCCCCTGCCCCTCCCCGCCAGCCTCCCATCAACCCAAATTATCCCATGAAGCATATGAGGTCCCCCACCTTCTAGTTATCTCCTCTAACTACATATAGCCACCCTACAGCCTTCTTTGTCTGGCCATCCTGGGTGGGGGGTGTGTGTGTGTGTGTGAACTGCAGACCTCGATGACATTGAAATCCGAGAAGCCGGGGAGGCGCTGGTCCTTGCAGATGACCCCGGCATCCTCATCGTGGGTACAGTCACTGTTCCCCCAGCCCCGTGAGGCACATTCAGTCACACTCTTTTCAGTCCCACTGCAGCTCAGGTTGTCCAGCCAGATGCGGCCTGTGGAGGGGGAGATGAGGGGACAGAGCAGCTTGGGGAGGTAGGATGGGAGGAATGATGGGGATGTTGGGGAGAGTGAGCATCGAGGCTTTGCACCTGGCCATGATGATCCCATTTTTTTGTGGTAAGATAATGGGTGGGGAAGAGACAGGGGACCCTGGAAGGGAATAGGAAAGGGGGCATAGCATTGATGGAGGGTTAGTGGTGATCTGGGGATACTCATGAATCATGGGGATACTAAAAAATCAGGAGTCAACACTGGGGGCTGGCCCAGTGGCCTAGTGGTTAAGCTCATAAGCTCTGCTTTGGTGGCCTGGGGTTCACTGGTTCAGACCCTCGGTGCAGACCTACACACCACTCATCAAGCCATGCTGTGGTGGTGTCCCACATAGAAGAACTAAAAGGACTTACAACTAGGATATACAACTAGGTACTGGGGCTTTGGGGAGAGAGAAAAAAAAGAGGAAGATTGGCAACAGATGTTAGCTCAGGGCCAATCTTCCTCACCAAAAAGCATTAAAAAAATAAAAGGAGAGTCAACAGTGAAGTTCTGATCAGTGCTTCCCCATTCAATGATAGCTACAATTAATCAAGTACCTACTGTGTGTTAGGCACTCTGCCATAGTATGTCCATACATGATCATTCTTAGAGCTGCGAGGAGGTATTATCAGCATTTTATATAAAGAAATTGGGGTTCAGAGAAGTAGCTTGCCTAAGACCACACAGCTAGTGCATGGGGGCTTAGGAGTGTGAGCCATTTGTGAGACTTGGAAATCTAAGATCCTTTCACCTCAGCCTCACATTCTCCCATGTGCCCGCCCTGTCTGTGCTGCCACGTTACCCCTTGTCCTTCTCTTGCCTAGACCATACTGAAATGAATAGCACTGACTTCCTCTCAGAATTGGGTGGACCCTCAAAGGTTGTCTGTCCCAGACAATGTGCAGGGACCCCTCATGCATATCCTGACAGGACCTACCCAGCTGCTGCTGGGAGACCTACCTTTTGCCTCCCTAGGCCATTGGAACCATCACAAAGTCCTTGTGACTCTTTATGATTTTCTCCCACCAGGTCTAATTCAGTCCTTTGATGCCATCCAGAAAAATCCCTCAGCCAAAGGACTGTCCTCATATTTGAAGACAACCATCATGTAATTGCTATCCAAAGCTGTTTTTTTCATGCCAAACATCCTTGTTTCTTCAGCTAGTCCTCCTTGAAACTTGGCTTCTAATCTTTCACCTCCGGGCAGCTTTTCTCTGAAAGTATTTCCGTTTTCTACTCTCTCTCTTAAAATACGGCATCTACAAGCGCCACTTTATTCCAGAATTGGTCTAGCCAGTGGGAATTGGGGAATCAATTACAGACTGCACCATCTTCTGTCCATCAATCCCTTTGTGGGCTCAGATGGTGCAAGCACCCCCAGGTCTCAGTTAGAGTTGCTCCTAAACCCCTACTACTCACATCCATACCTGTCCTAGAGTTTATACTTGCCCTTAGTCAGTTCCAGCTTGTTGGTTTCAGCTCTGGCCAATAATCTGATTTTGTCAGCTGCAGTATGTGATCCCTTCTGGCTTTGGGACATCCAGACATCATTTACCTGCTCTCAGCTTCCCATGAAATCAACCAGCTATAGTTTAACCATAAAGGGCTCCCCTGCATCAGGGCTGTCCTTGCACGTGGCTTTGTAGAATCATACTTTTACAGCAGAAAGGACCTTAGAGATCATTTAGTCATTTTGCACATGAGGCATCTGAGGCTCACAGAAGGCACTGACCAGCCTAAGGGTGCACAGCTCTGAGAGGTGACTATGTTGGTTGGTTTGTCACTCATGGGTTTACTTGACACTGGCTGTTCTTGGTGTCTTGTGTATCTATGGCTGTGCCATCCTGGTGTTCCCTCTTCCTATACTTAGGAATCTAGGCAATACCTAGGCTGTGCCTGGAGCATTGCTCACCTGTTCCAGGACCATATTTGGCACTGTGGGTCCAACCTGTGGCCTCTGTGAAGCCCAGCTCCCGGCAGAGGACGTGGGCAGCCTGCAGCGTGAAGTCGTCATCGCAGATGGTGCCCCATTCCCCAGCTCGCTCTATCTCCACACGGCCCTCGAAGGGCTTCCTGGGGAAGCCGGCCAGCCGGAACCTCAGCCCCTGGCTTTCAGCCCTCTTCTCAGGGGCCGTGGATGGGGACGGAGATCCCAGGCACGAGCTGCACAGCAGGCACAGCAACAGCCCCCACAGGCTCCACTGCCAGACACTGACAGGTTGCATGGCAGGGAAGGTCTGGGTGCTCCAGAGAGAGAGAGGGAGAGAGAAACTGAGACTGAGCCAGGCCCGGGTCTGAGAGAGAGAGGTCATGAGAGGAAAAGAGACACTAAGTAAGCCCAGAGATAGAGACATAGTGCGAGAGAAAGAGAGGGACCCAGGGACTGAGAGAGACAGTGACACATTAAATACGTTAACATTAAATACATCAGAAACACAAAGAGGCGCAGACTGAGACCCAGCTGGGGTGGATGGAGAGAGAGACAGACAGACAGAGACAGAGATAGAGAGAGAGGCTCTCCCTCTGTTTTGTAAAGAGTGAAACTCTCACTATTAGTTGTTATACTTCCTAGTGTCTTTCCCTGGTTCTGCCGTCATCACCTCCATTACCCCCACTCACTGATTTAAGAGACCCAGAGATCAAAAGACAGTGATTAGAGAGCAAGAGTCAGAGAAGGGTCAAGATAAAGAGATACTGAGCAAGAGACACACAGAGAGGAAGACCCAGACAGAGAGGATGTAAGAGGAAGGGAAACTGTGGGACTGAAAGAGGACCAAAGAGAAAGAGACAGTGGAGAGAGAGACAATGTTGAAGATGGATAGAAGGTGATTGGGAGAGAGCCAGGCAAACAGAACTGGGGAGAAACGGAGAGAGACAGGCAACAGGTGAGGAGGACAGGGGCGGACAGGAGCTAAGGAGCAGAGGTGGGAGGGACCCAGATGACCCCATTAAGCTAGTCAGACAGGGATAGATAGCTACTGATTGTGGAGAAAGGCAGGCAAGGGAGTCTTAGGAGACCCTTGGATCTCCCATCCCCTGAATGGGAGCCAAGCCCAGAGTCCTATCTGGGCAGATTCCAAGGCAGAGAGGGCAGGGATCAGAATGCATTTGGAACCCACTGCACACTCTACCCAGCACACAGGCTCTCACATGCCCTGGAGGGTCAAGGGGCCCAGGAGGGCCAGGCCTCAAGCTGGGGGGGAGTGGGGAGTTGTCCAAGCCTCCCGCCAACACTGCCATCGCTGTCACCGGGCAACCGGAGGCCAGGGCTCCAATCGGCTCCTCAGCCAAGGCCTTCCCTCTGTCTGGGGCTGAGAACAGCCTCTTTACAGCGAGGCTGTCCCCCCTACTCCCAACATGCTTCCCCCAACTCAGACAAACAACCCAACAGGACAGCTTTGTTCTGGAGACATTGTGACTCAGGGGCCCAGAGGTAGGGCCTCACAGAGGAGCCCCAAGCCTGATGGTCCTCCTGGCTGCGCTATTTGGAACACTCTACAGCACCCCCACTCCCCAAATATTGCTTCCTCTCTCCACTCTTCTTGTACCTCTCTCTTGACAATAATAAAACCCTCAGCTGGTTGGCTTTCCCTCGACTCCATCCTACATCACTCTTTTTCCCTGGTCCCTCCACCATCCTCTCCATCCGCAACTCCCCTTCCTCCTGCCGGCAGCGCGACTCCCCCTACCTTTGGCTGAGCGGGGCCCTAGGGGCTGGGAGAAGAATGCCGGTCCTGGAGATCAGTCCTAGGACTTCCAAAAAAAAGTGCTCGGCCAGGGGAGGCTGGACCCCCCCCCCTCCTCCCTCTCTTTTCGTCCCTCCCACGTCCCCTTGAGCCCTCCCACATTCCGCCTTCTCCCTTGATTGCTCCCTGGCCAGTTCCCTCCTCTTCTCCTCTTGGTCCTCCCCTCCCCGGTGGAGCTGGCCGCCGCGCTCCACCTCCCCCCGCGCCCCCCGCCCCGACCCTCCCGGCGTGCTCAATGAAGCTTTCTTTTCCCGCGGGTTGGAGGCCCGGCAGCTGCGGTCAGGAACCTGGACACGCAAGAGGCCACCGGGCCGCGAACCGGCCCGGGCAGCGGCCCCTGCGGCGGCTGGAGGCCGCGACTCGGCTCCGGGCTCCGGGCAGCCTTCCAGTCCCCAGCCCCTAGCCCTTCCCCCACGGCCCCGGGTCTGCGGAGTATAAACAGCCCAACTCCGGCCAGGCTGGGGGCGGGTCCGGTCAGGGGAACCGAGGCCATGAGGGCCCACGTGGCCCCTTCAGTACCCCAGGGTGCCTGCCGGCATGTTCGAGGTGATGTCATGGCCTGCACTCTGATGTCATATTGAACATGTGACATCGCACGCAGCCCCCAAGCCCAGGCACCAGAGCCCTCTGGCCAAAACCGCAAGGTTTCTCTTGGAGCCACTTGTGCGCGTCCCAGAGCTGTGGGTAGGGGCCTGGACGTGGACCCCATCCCCTTCCTTCTTGCTCTTCTTCCTAATCCTTCAAGGACCGCAGGGGCCGGGCGAGGGGCGGGAACGCCTCCAGTGGGCCCGCCCCACCCCGCCCCGCCCGCAACCCCGGGGCCAGGAAGTGCGAAAAGAACCGCCGCGGGCCATGGACGGGGCCGTCATGGAAGGAACGCTCTTTCTGCAGAGTCAGCGTTTCGGTACCAAGGTAGTTGGGGGCAAGCGTTGCCGAACCCCATCAGAGATGGGGGGCTGGGGGGCGACAGACCCCAGAAAGAGGGAGGAGGCGGGCCGCGGGTTGGAGCGCGGCGCCTGAGAGCCCGGTGACGCTCCCGCGAGGTTGCTCCGCACCGCGGGGGGAAGCGTCCGCCGGGCTCAGGGTACGCCCTCTCTAGTCCTGGGGAGACGAGCGGCTTCCTCGGCCCGGTCGACTACGCCTCCCGTCGGGAAGTCTCCGAGCCGAAGTCGGCCTGCGCCGGTCTCTCTTCCCCGTCGGGGCCCGGGCTGCCGCTGCGCGCCCGCCCCCTGCCCAGCGTCTCTCGCTCTCTCTCCGCAGAGGTGGAGGAAGACCTGGGCCGTGCTGTACCCGGCCAGCCCCCACGGCGTGGCGCGGCTCGAGTTCTTCGACCACAAGGGGTCGAGCTCTGGAGGGGGCCGAGGGGGCTCGCGCCGCCTGGACTGCAAGGTGATCCGTCTGGCGGAGTGTGTGAGCGTGGCGCCCGTGGCGGTGGAAAGCCCCCCAGAGCCTGGCGCCACAGCCTTCCGCCTGGACACCGCGCAGCGCTCCCACCTGCTGGCGGCCGACGCGCCGTCCAGCGCCGCCTGGGTGCAGACGCTGTGCCGCAACGCCTTTCCGGTGAGGGGGCCAGGGCTGCGGCGAGGGGCTCCAGCTAGGCGATGCGGGGGTGGGCAGAGTTACAGCCGCAGAGGAACTGGGTTAGCTCAGGCCCTGGGAGCCGCACTGAGGGAATTACAGGGTCTTCAATACTTTCTTTCTCTTTACCCCAGAAAGGCAGCTGGGCTCAGGCGCCCGCCGAGAACCCACCCAAGCTTTCTGCCCTGGAGATGCTGGAGAACTCCCTGTATAGCCCCACCTGGGAAGGTAGACGCCTGAGAAGCCCGGGCAGGGATGGGGTGGAAAGGAAGGGTGCCCTTGGGAACGGGGTGATTAGAGGGCCCAGGGACCCATGAGGAAGTAGGAAGCTTCTGAGAGCTGGCTTCCAAGTGAGTGCTTGGACAATCCGCCCCAGCCCCTAGTCCTGGCCAGGTGCCCGTCTAACTGTGTATTCCTTCCAGGATCCCAGTTCTGGGTAACCGTGCAGAGGACCGAAGCCGCTGAGCGCTGTGGCCTGCATGGCTCCTATGTGCTGAGGGTGGAGGCTGAGAGGCTCACGCTGCTGACCGTGGGGGCCCAGAGTCAAATACTAGAGCCACTCCTTTGCTGGCCTTACACTCTCTTGCGTCGCTATGGCAGGGACAAGGTGCGGGGGCTGTCAGGGAGGGCTGGCTTCCTGGGTTTGGGCAGCTGTGGGTGAGGTGGGGCAGGACAGGAAGGTGGGAAGCTCTGTCCTCTGGATAACCCTTCTTTGCCTAGCTCAGGACCACACCCACCTCCCCAGGTAGTCTTTTCTTTGTAGATCCCCTGGGTAGTTAGTTTGGCCCTGTGACTCACCTCCTCTCATGGCTCCTAGTAATGTGTTTCCCTCCACACCCTCTTCAGGTCATGTTCTCTTTTGAGGCTGGCCGCCGCTGCCCCTCTGGCCCTGGAACCTTCACCTTCCAGACAGCACAGGGAAACGACATCTTTCAGGCAGTTGAGACTGCCATCCACCAGCAGAAGGCCCAGGGAAAGGCCGGTCAGGGGCAGGATGTTCTCAGAGCTGATTCCCACGAAGGAGAAGTGGCAGAGGGGAAGTTGGCCTCCCCGACCCAGGAGCTCCTGGTCAGCCCTCCAGCCCTGTATGCCGAACCCTTAGACTCCCTTCGCATTCCTCCAGGCCCTTCCCAGGATTCTCTATACTCAGACCCCCTGGACAGCACCCCTGCTCCAGCTGGGGAGGGGGCACAGTTAAAGAAACCTCTCTACTGGGACTTGTATGAGCATGTGCACCAACAGTTGCTGAAGGCCAAGCTGACGGACTGCAAAGAAGACCCCATCTATGATGAACCTGAGGGCCTGGCTCCAGCTGCTGTCCGGAGCCTTTATGATCTGCCTCAAGAGCCCAAGGATGCGTGGTGGTGCCAGGCCCGGGTGAAGGAGGAGGGTTACGAGCTCCCCTACAACCCTGCCACCGATGACTATGCTGTGCCACCACCTCGGAGCACAAAGCCCCTCCCAGCTCCCAAGCCCCAGGGCCTGGCCTTCCCTGAACCTGGAGCAGCAACTGGCAGTAGAAGCAAGGGCCACAGCTCAGATGCTGCCCTGTACAGCCAGGTCCAGAAGAGCGGGGCCTCAGGGAGCTGGGACTGTGGGCTCTCTAGAGCAGGCACTGACAGGACTGGGGTCAAGCCAGAGGGCTCCACGTGAGAAGTAGGGCAAGGCTGGGGTTCCTGATAGGAGGACCATGGGGAGGTGGCACTGGGGATCAAAGAAACCTGTTAGGACAGTGGGAACCAGAGGGCTGGAGGGGCATGTGTAAGACCAGGGGATCAAAAGGATCAGGGAAGGATGATCACTCCCAAGAAGTCCTGAAAGTGGGACAGATGGCAGGGGCTGAGGGATGGGACCTGGGGAGGCCAGCACCCCTAAGTCATCCCTGCCAAGGGATTGGACAGCTGCTGGACCAGGTCTGTGGAAAGCGGTACTTGGTCAGAGTAGCTGCAGTTTGAGAGACCTGTATGGAGGCTATAGGGAGATGCTGGCCTGTGCCTGGATCCTCACCCCTGCATTGTTCTTTGCCAGAGATATATATTTTTTTTAAGTTTTATTCTCATTAAAGTCAGTTTGGGTTTAAGAGGTCTATGTGTGTGAACAGCCACAGAGAGGACAGAGTGGCAGGGTGTGCTGAGTGGGTGTGGAGGGGATCAGGAGGAGAGCCAGGAATGTGTTGGGGGCCAAGAAAGGAGGAAAGGGCCCCCGGGAGGGGAGCCAAGCAGTGTGGTGGTTCAGAGCCTGGGTGGTCCAGTCAGGCCCACCTGGGCTTGACCTGGCTTAGTGACCCTGGGCAAGTTGTATAACCTCTGCAGCCCTCAGTTTCCCCCGCTGCCCCTCTGTAAAACAGCAAAGCTTAATAACAGACTCCACCTCACAGGACTGTTTGTATGAAAGGAGTTAAATTTCCCAAGTACTTAGTGCAATCTGAAGCACAGAATAAGCATTTTATAAATGGTAATAGTTATTCTGTAGATGGAGAGGCTGGGCAGGTAAGCAGCGTGGGGAGAATAGGAAGGGAATCGGTCTTTTTCACACCATCCTCTCTCTCTTCTCAGCCATATGTCACCCCCTCAACACAGAGACACACACAAACACACGCATTTTGCATGTAGGTACCAAGCACTAACCACTTGTCAATTTGGAGGCTACAATGTGGTGGTGTAGTAGGAGGGGCACAGGCTTTGGAATGAGGCTTGGATTTCAATCCTACTTGCTTTTCATGAGCTCTGAAAACCTATCCTTGTCTCCTGAGGCCCGGTTTCCTGAAGGTGACCTGACCTCATCCACCTGCCTACACAGAGCTACCAGGAGAAATTTGGGCGTAGGAATGCTCCTAACAATGGTGGAGGCTTACTTGGTGTTTAATCTTCATCTGTATTAACAGTATCAATTGATGCAAAAGAAAATGAGAGTCCCTGCTTGGGGAAGGAAGAGGTTTGGGAGTGTCTCTGGGCCTGAGGAGTGGGGTGGTGGGGCACTGAGCACAGAGCAGGGGAAGGCTCTGTTTCCCAGTCACCCAGAGCTCACAGAGGCTCAGGTGGATGGGAAGTGAGTCTGACCACAGAAAGCCATTGTGTGAGCCTCAGCTTGGTGGAGTAGGGCAGCTGGCTCTGGCTCTGGTGACTTAGGGCCCTGAGAGATACTCCTCCTCCTCTGCTTCCTCCTCCATGGAAAGCTGGAAGAAGGCTTCTGAGGAAGCTTTGCTGGCTGCTAGCATCTTGTGGGCTTTGCCAGGGGCTGGAGTCATAGTCAGGGGGGCCACTGTGGCTCGAACTCGGTTCATTTGCAACTGCCCAGCCTGCAAAGAAAGCAAGCAGAGCCTTCTCTGAAGACCAGAGTCCTGCTCTCCTGTCCTGTTCCTTGCTGGGCCCCTGTCCTAACTCCTTCAGGTGTCCCAACTCTGGAGTGCCTGCCTCAAGGCCCAGGGCAGTCGAGTCCCCTGGGTTCTAGCCTCCACAGCCCCTGTCTCCTGGCTGAGTGTCCCTCCTCTGTTAGCTTGCCCATCAGCAAACTCATGGTGGGCTCTGCTCCCACACATTGGTTACTGCTGCCACCTCTAGACTGACTGTAGTTTGGAAACGCCTTTCTTTTGTAATTTCAGCTAAGGCAAAGCAGGAGTTTTCTAAAGGCTCTGTTCCTGGGAAACTAGGAAAAGATTAATAAGGGCAAAAGGAAGCCCAGATATATAGATTATGGATTTTGCAAAAATAACTCTACACCCTCAATTACTCTTCTCTCTTCAGCTCTTGTCACTAGAGCCCTGTCTCCAAGCTGCTAACCTTGGTCAGCCTCCTTTTCCTCCTCTGTAAAATGAGCATAACACTTACCTTGCAGGGATGCTGTGAGGATTAAATGAGAAAAATATATGTGAAAGTACTTGTCACAAAGCCTGGCAAATGACTTCTCAGTACATGCTAATTCCCCTCCCCTCGGGCATTTCTTTTCCCACCTTCCCTTCAGCCTTTTCTGTCAATTGAGGGCTGTGGTTGTAGTTCCAGTGTAGCAGGTTTGCTTAGTAGGACAATGGTTGTTAAATGACTAGGGAGTTACCATAAACACTACAGTTAAGATACCGAAATATTATTCTATGTAAATGCCTGAGCAGAAAAGCCCCCCTACTGGGGAGGGGTTGTCATTTCCTTTGTCTAGGGCAAAGGGCCACTCTTTCTCTCTCTCCTCTGTTAGCCCAGTTACCCCCTCCACCAGGGGAGATGGGGAGGAGGGCTCTCTTGGATTCTGGGCATAAAGGGGAGGGAGGGAAGTAAGGAGAGGAGCTGTACCTTTCTCAGGGCCCGGCTCTCCCAGCTTGGGTGGAGCCGGCCCTGAGGCTTGACAGAGGCGCTGCTCAGGTGTGAGTACAGGTGGCTCCAAACCTGCAAGGGGTTGTAGGTGGGCTCCAGCTCCAGGCTGTCCAGTGTGCTCTGAGGAAGAGACGGGGAGCTTTACCCAGGGAACTTGAGGTCACAGAACACGAGACGTCAGGCAGAGACCTTTGGGTGTGAGAGGCTGGAGGAGGTATGAGGACCCAGGGCTTCACTGGAGGCTGTGAAATAGATGTGTGTCCCACTGGGCGTTCTGGCCCCCAGGTCTGAGTTCTTGTGAGGTAAGTGTCAGGCAAGAGTACAAGAAATAGGAGCGACCCTGAGTGGTTAGGGGCACCAAACACGCTGGCCCTGAGAAGTGTGTCATGGGATTCTGAGAGGGGCCGGATTCCTGTGAGGGTTACAAGGGAACCAGTGTGCGCAGCTGTAGGGAGGGTGTGTTGGAGGCCTGGGGGTGCTCCTGGTCTGCAAGGCCAGTACACTGAGTTCTTCAGCCTGTGAGGTGAGCATAACCGGAGGACACGCGAGCACAGCATTCCTGAGCAGTCAGGTTTTCCGGCCACAACATCCTGTGCCAGGAACCATTGGCTCCAAAGTGAGACGCTGATCGAGCCACAGCCACTCGTGCCCACCTCTCTCTGCATCCCCACAGCCGCCAAGCCGAGAGCACAATCCCAGGCTCTGTCCTCTCTGCACGTAGGCCGGCGATCCAGCAGTGATGTGGTTCCAGTTCTCCCCACCCAGAGCCCCCTCCTGCCCTCAGCCTGCGGGGGCTGGCAGAGGAAATACCGAATCCAGATCCAAGGAGGAGAAGAGGAGGAGGAGGAGAAAGTGGCCTGCAGAGCTGTTCCCTCCTTTGCATTGGAGTCTCATTTTGAAGCCCTTCCTATCCTGGGAGCCTACATTGGCTGCCTTTTCCTCTTCTCCTCAACAAAGAGATGCACATAAACACAGGTACAGGCACATGACACACAATGCAGAGAAAGAGAGCACACCATCACGCTGGTGCTTCCTTCCTTCTGCCCAGCCTCAGTTCCTACCCTTGCTTTCTCCTCTGCCCCTCTTACCACACCTGTGGAACCCACTTCTCCCTCCACTCGCCTGTCCTTTCCCTCACAGGGTCACTCGTCTCCCTCATCTCTTTCCCCAAACTCCATGAACTCCATTCTCTTCTCTCCCCTCTGTCTCTTGCTTGAGATCTGGGCTCCACTTGCCTCCACAATCTTCAGGCTGTCATCAGGCAGGTCCTCAGGCAGCAGGGGGAAGGGGCTGGGCAGCATCAGTTCCCGTGTGGCCACTGCCTTCACCAGCAGGGTTGGGGAGCGTGATGGCAGGATCACATAGAATGTGCTGGCGGGCTCTCTCATGCTGTGTCCTCCGCTCAGGGGCTCCCCTTTAGCCAACAGCAGCCATTCTCTTTTCTGAAACAAGGACATACATAAATGCTGCTTCGTCTTCTGTCTTTGCATGTTTTGAAGATCAAT